CTTGTTGAGCAACAAAGAGTTTTGCTCGATTAAACTCCAATATTCCCCACGTATGAGGCCCAACGCGTAGACGGAAATCCGGCGATTTCCTCCTTTGACCCCTGACTTTAAAAATTGCGACCATCCATATGTGAATTATGAGAATAGTTTTCGTCGTGCGCGTCGATTGCTTGGCCCATAGGTGACGGAGTCCTGGCAAGGCTATTATTGCTCGCATACTTCTGCGAGCTGCACATCTCGCAGGAAAGCGAGGCCGGCGTTTGGTGTTATATGTGGCAGGCCAAGCTTCTCCTCTGTCTACGCAGAAATCCCGCCGCCGTTGCGAAGCAGGGGTCGGGACCTGGGGTCTCGTCCGTAACCCGGACCCCCTAAGAGATTTCGGCGTTCTCACCCGTTTTTGCGGGAGCGGAGCCTAGGCGTGGGGGCGGGCCCCCGTTTTACGGTAAAGGCCGCGTTGCCCCCGACCGCTCCGGGGGAAGGTGTAGCGCGGCGCCGATCTTAATATATAATAATTAAGTCCAGCCCCCCGAAGTTCCAACCATACGTCCGAATCGACCATCAGATTCACGTGGGGGGCGGACACGTGATATGAAACTACTGGCACGGCTAACATGGCTCTGGCAACCCATTAAATATGGAGACGCGCTTAAAAAGTAAACGTATAGGGCCGCTACCCGGGGGTGATCGCCGGGGCGCACCTGGAGCTGACGCTGGGTGTGGAAGCATACGAACCGTCAGCGGAGAGGAGCTGAATAGGCGGGCTCCCTCCGGGTCACTCGAAAATGCTACAGCCAACCTGAATTCCGACCAACAAACTGCACCTATAGCTACACCTGCCTTAGATGTTGCGCAGGGGGTCAATACCCTTTTACCTGCGTCCACTAAGGCTGGTAAACCACGTGTACGTATGAGATGGACAGAAGGTGTAAACATATTCATCATGCGTACCTACTATCGCGTCACCAAATTAGAAACAGATATGACCACATATAGGAAATTACTACATGAACATTTTTTAAGACAGTACCCCCACGTTATGGTTTCAGAAAAACAACTACCTAAATGCAACCGAAATACAAACACCATTTAGTACTCACGTATCAACGCAAGCTGAAACTACTATACTATTAATGGAGACTGAAATAGAAACTTTACAGACTTCAGTCCTCCCAGATTCATCCACGGAAAAATTCAAAGAAAATTTACAAACAGCTATAATAGAATTTGCGGGTTTAGACCCTACACTCAGACCGCGACTCCCTAAGCTAAAATATAGTTTGCGTCTTGCCAAATTAACTCAGTTTTTTAATAATACCTTACTGCCTGAGTTTTTCACTGATGAATCACAATTAACCGATATTCATACACTTATATATTGTAGTGCCCTAGTAATAACACGAGAGCTTGGATATAACACCGAACCACAACCCAAACCCCAACGCATTAATAAAAAGCCAGCTTGGCAAGATAGACTGGAAAGAGATATAACGCAACTTAGATCCAATATCGGTAGACTAACACAATATTTAAATAATAATAGATCAAAAAGATAGTAGATACGGTGAACAAATTTATAACTAACAATAGGATACACACTGGTCATGAAAATAACAATAAAAGACCCGAAGACGCTCTGGACACACTAAAACAAAAGTTAGCACTAAAATCGCACAGACTAGACGCTAGATATAAAAAAGCACTTCAACGAAAAAACGACAATAAACTGTTCCATACTAACGAAAAAATATTTTATAGAAACCTGAATACAAATAAAGAAAACCTGACAAATAGTAACATAGAAACTCCAGCAATACATGATTTGGAAGAATTCTGGGCAGGTATTTGGGAAACAGAAGTACACTACAACGAGAAAGCACCATGGATAACCGAGGAAGAAAGAAAGTGGGAAGGCATAGATGAAATGCGATTCAAAGAGAAGAAAAATAATAGCAAAAAATTTTACCGCATTATTCACGGACAACAAAGCACACCCCCATTCATAACTAAAGGTATAACATACATGCTACCTAAAGGCAAATACACATCACAACCATCACAATATATACCCATAACTTGCTTACCTACAATATACAAAATTCTCACATCAGCTATAGCCCAAAAACCTACCACTCACATAGAACAGCACAGTATTCTCGCTGAGGAACAAAAGGGGTGTAGAAGAGACAATATGGGATGTAAGGAGCAACTTGTTATCGACTCTGTAATTCATAGACACGCAGCTACCAATAATAGAAATTTACACTGTACATATATAGATTACAAAAAAGCTTGTGATAGTATTCCACATTCCTGGTTACTATACATTCTAAAAATATACAAAATTAACCCTGTTATAATAGACTTTCTCAAAAACATAATGCCTCTCTGGAAAACGACACTTCACCTAAACACAATCACTAGTAGAGAAATAGTAATAAAAAAGGGTATATATCAAGGTGACTCCCTGAGTCCTCTGTGGTTTTGTCTCGCCCTAAACCCTATATCACAAATATTGCAGAATTGCAAGGCCGGATATAGACTAAAGCACGATAGCACTGAAACTTGTATATCACATTTAATTTACATGGATGACATAAAGCTATATTCAAAAACAGCAAAAGAAATGAAATCACTAATAGACGCTACGGCTAATTTTAGCAAAAACATCGGTATGCAATTTGATTTAGATAAATGCAAAACTATTCATATAGCAAAAGGAAAGATCCAGCCAGGCAATTACACAGTGAGTCGAGATGAAATAATTACAGCTATGGAACCGAATGAGTTGTATAAATACTTAGGATACCAGCAATCAAAAGGAATAGACCATAATAAATTGAAAAGCTCTTTAAGGGATGAGTATAAGCATAGGGTACATATTTTAAGTAAAAGTAACTTAGCTGCCAAAAACTTAATAAAAGCAATAAACACATATGCGATACCTATATTAACCTACTCTTTTAGGATCATAAAATGGACTAAAACAGATATCAATAATATACAAATAGCAACAAGAACTATACTTACTAAACATAATTGCCTACATCCAAAATCTGCCATAGAAAGAGTGACAATCAAAAGACAGGATGGAGGAAGGGGCCTTATCGACATATTTACCCTATGGACCACACAAATATCTAAATTACGATCATATTTCTTTGAAAAAGCTAGCAGTAGTCAAATCCACAAAGCAATAGTTAGTAATGATCTGAACCACACACCGCTAAACCTAACCCAAAATTTGGAAGTAGCTAATGTAGAAAATAACTCTGAAAACTGTAAAATAGAACAATGGAAAAAGAAAACACTCCATGGCCGACATCCTCAAGATCTCGAACAACCGCACATAGACAAATCAGCATCAAATAAATGGCTCACTCTTGGATTTCTATTTCCAGAAACTGAAGGCTTCATTATAGCAATCCAGGACCAAATCATTAACACTAAGAACTATAAAAAACATATTATCAAAGAATCTACAGTAACAGACGATAGCTGTAGAAAATGTCACAACCAACCAGAAACTATACAACATATCACTGGAGCATGCCCTAATCTTGCACAAACAGACTACACACATAGACATAATCAAATTGCAAATATTATACATCAAAGACTAGCTCTCAAATATGAACTCATCCCGGACACACATACACCATACTATCAATACACTCCTAAAACAGTTTTGGAAAATACACAACAATGGCGGTGACATTTTTACTTTCTCGGCAACGAATGCATCAATCAGAGTCCTTCGTTCGCTCACAGCTTCTTTAAAAGTTTCAAGCCCGCCTATCTGTCGGAGATTTTCGTTCGTTTAAGGGCTTTCTTGCGGTTTGTATTGTAATGATTAATATCCCAAAAGGGATTCAATGAAATATACTCTTAAGCGAAAAATGTAGTAAAGACAGAGTTGTCATCCAGGCAAGAGTTTTGATATATTGAATTATATTTATTATCTAGTACTGCTAACATAGAAAAGCAGTAAGGAGGGTAGGAGGAACTGTGTCAAGTCGAACATCAGCTCCGAGTATTTTGTAGATTTAAAAATAAAATCAGTGCTTAAAAACCAGTGGAATAGAATATTATGGATTTATAAACAAATGATTTACAACATAGTGAAATAATAACTTATCTGCTTATAAATAGTGAATAGCTGTAATAACAAACTATCATTTTGTTGGGGCAAATGGACAATAATTACGAAAAATTATTACCTAAACGAACTAAATCGCGGTAGGAAGTGACAAAGTGTGAATATTAGTGGACTATTGTGGACTAAATACAAATAGAAGAAAAATAACCTAAATCTATACTTGATGATTAGGCAATTATCATTAAATAAATCAAAACCAGCGCCATCTGTTTAAACTCGATGTACTACGTCCTACAAACAACGAAACATTATCGATAGATTTGCAAACAAAAGCTATCACTTGGATGAATTAGTTTAGAAAAGGAAATAAATATATAGGAAAATAGTCGCTAGATGACACTACCAGTGCTATAAAAATATAAAAATATAATTTACTAATTTTATTCAAGCATCTCACAAATCATGGAGGACATTATGAATGCACTTCGTCACATCCAAAAAGAGTTAGATGAACAAAAAATCGCCATACAAAGAAGTGGAGAAAAAGTTACGGAACAGGTAACACAAAATATAAATAGCATAATGGAAGAAAAATTTACAATTTTAGAAAAAAAATATGACAACCTCCAAACAAAAGTAGAAAATCAAGAGAAACGTCTTTATTTTTTGGAAAAACAAGCAAGACGACGAAACTTTGTATTGTTCGGATTAGACGAAAAAGAGACATCATACTCAAACTTGGAAAATACTTTGGTAGAATTTACAAAAAAATACTTTGAGTTAAACATAGAACGAAGAGACATACAAGAAATAAAGAGAATTGGAAAAAAAGGAGAAAGACCTAGACCAATTGTTGTCACTCTTTCTAATCTAGGATTAAAAATCGAGATATGTAAACAAAAAAATGCACTAAAAGACACAACATACTATATAAAGGAAGATTACCCACGGGATATATTAAATAAAAGAAAAGAATTACAAAAGCAACTAAAGATTGAAAGAGAAAAAGGAAACACTGCCATAATAAAATACGATAAACTTATAGTACTAGACAAGAATATAACAAATAAGAGAAATCTCTCAATATCTCCTGAAAATATCCATAATCTAGTAAATAAACCAAAAAAGAATAAACAACAACTGTCTGACTCAAAAATCAAGGTCATAAGGTCAAATAGTGTCACCGAAAAAGCTATAAAACCAAGCATGTTGAACTTCTTGACAACGAATACATAACAACTAACCCCCTCTCTCCACACTGATACCACAAACAAACTTCAATAAAAAAGACAAAAAAATCTTCCAACCCGGCTGGTCACCGTGGAAGATTACGACCAAAACCCTCCAAAGTTACAAAACTCAAACCCAACCTTAAAAACTTGGACAAAATCTGATAAAGCATAGTCACTAATACAAAAAAAAATAGATATATAAATAAATAAATATATATACTATCTGTCATCATACATGACGATATCGTGGGACTTTCGGAAGTTAAATGACAGGGTAACAAATAGAAGAACACAACGCTTTTATATTTTGCTACATTGGAACTTCACCCGGAAAAATCTGGAGCAGGATTCTTAATACACAAGTCTTTGGAGGAGGCCTTTACCCAAACCGGGATTTCTTGTTAATTTATATTTATTTTAATACACGTACTTATATTACTAACATAATTTAAGCTAACTTGCTAACAAAAATCATATTAGTGTATGTATACAGGGTGGCCCATAAGTCCTTTGAAAAGTAAAATTTGAATAAAACGAACAGGGCGCGCGTGAGCGGTGCAGGGGAAGCGGGGGGAGTAACTTCGGTTTCTGGGAATTTAGTCGCGATGGAGCGTTTTACCGGAGCGGACCGTGCGTTTTGTGTGCGCGAATTTTAGAAAAACGACAATTCGGCAACCGTTGCGCGGCGTAAATTTCGAGAACACAAAGGTTTACACAACTTTGACGACACTCCAACTCTTCAAACGATTAAGAACTGGGTTGCTAAGTTCGAGGAGACCGGTTCGACGTTAGATAAACCGCGGTTGGGTCGCCCAAGGACGTCACGTACGGAACAAAACATAGACACAGTGACACAGTCTATTCGCGAAAATCCGACACAGTCAACTCGTAAGCGCGCCAGAGCATTAAACGTATCCAGGACATCGTTACAACGGATTTTGAAGAAAGATTTACATATGCACCCTTACAAAATTCAGTTGGTTCAAGAATTAAAGGAAACTGACGGTATTCAAAGACAAAATTATGCGAATGAAATGTTGAATCGGTTTACTTCCTTCAATAACATAATGTTCTCTGACGAGGCTCATTTCCATCTTAACGGGCATGTTAGTAAACAAAATTGCCGCTATTGGAGCCCCATCAATCCAAAACTTAAGCATCAGAAGCCCTTACATAGTCCGAAAGTGACTGTTTGGGCCGCTATGTCAGCCCATGGTATCCTAGGGCCTTACTTCTTTGAGGATGGCAGAGGGCGCGCAGTTACTGTTACGTCGGAGCGATATGTGGCTATGATCGAAGAGTTTTTCATACCAGAATTGCAAAACTTTTCAGGCTTTAATGCCAGGACGTGGTTTCAACAGGATGGGGCCACTTCTCTCACCTCTAACACTGCTATGCCCGTTATCCGTCAACTTTTTCCTGGCAAAGTTATCTCTAAGAGAGGAGACATTTCCTGGCCTCCACGTAGTCCAGATTGACCCCGCATGGATTATTTATTTGTGGGGCTACCTTAAGGCTTAAGTAGTACGACACAAACCGCGGGTCAATGAGGTCCTAAAAGAAAAACATCACAGCAGGAGAAATGCAAGCATTTCAGGCAGTGACGTGCCGCGCAGTCATCGAAATTTTAGACGTACGTTTGAAGAGTTGTCCGTGATCGCAACGGATTTCATTTAGGAGATGTTATTTCAAAAATAATTCCTACGTTTTTTAAGCCCTTTTTATGTAAATAAAAATTTAATTGCATAATGTATTAGTTTTATTTTAATAATTTTTTTTCATTTCAAAGGGATTATGAAGACCACCTGTATATATCCACTAAGATGTAACATAAATAAGCTATTATTATTATTATTATTATTTTTTTAAATTTTTATTTTCTCAGCTTATGCTGGTAGTACTTTAGTGACATTTACGGACTCGGTCAAGTAAATGTCACGGTTTCTTGGGGTTGGCTAACTATTGCATTATGTGGTTGATCATATTCTATTTGCAGAAACTTTCGTACAATTCTGCACGTGTTTAATATAGCAGCTTTTTGAAGAAGTATGTAGGTGTTAGGTTTTAGGTCAAGGAGCTTCAAACCATGATGTATATGTTTTGGAATAACACCAGTTGTGGACAATACTAGAGGGACAATGTATACTTTTTGTTGTTTCCAGATTCTTAAAACTTCATCCCTAAGGTCTGCATATTTGTGTATTTTTTCTGCTATTGTTTTTTGTAGGTTGTGAGTGTTAGGGACAGCTATATCGATCAGGTAAGTGATTTTATTTATTTTGTCTCGTACGGTAATATCGGGACGGTTGTAGTGTATGGTTCTATCGGTTAGTATTGCGCGGTCATAGTAAATTTTATGAGTGC